TGTGTGTGTGTGTGTGTGTGTGTGTGTGTGTGTGTGTGTGTGTGTGTGTGTGTGTGTGTGTGTGTGTGTGTGAGCCAGGTCAGGGTGCTGCCTTGCTGTCTTTCTTTTGCTTGCTCACTCGGTCCATTTGTGTGTCGCAGGTTTTGAACTCGAGGCAGTTTGCTCTCAAATTGATAGCGAATGTGACGTATGGTTACACTGCAGCAGGTTTCAGTGGGAGGATGCCATGCGCAGAGCTGGCTGACAGTATCGTCCAGTCAGGAAGGCGCACGCTGGAACGTGCAATCTCTATGGTTGAGGAAACTAAGCGATGGGATGCTCGTGTGGTATATGGTGACACTGACAGGTACCCATATGTTGTCTGTGTGGTACCTTTTCATTTCCGTGACCCCTGCACCCTCCAGCCCCTGTTTGTGTGTCGCATTGGTGTTTGCACACCCCCATTTTGTAACGATGTGCATGGTTTGCCGCCCGCTTTCTCACTATACTCAGTATACTGTGCAAAAATAATCCTCCTGTGCCTCTGGGCTTGCTCAAGTCATCTCAAACATTCCTGGCTTTCTGTGATTGGGAACTTTGGACTATCTATCTGTTAGATTGCCAGAGTTGTAAAAACTTGTAATGTCATTGGAAGATGCAACTTCAGCCTTATTTATCTTCATGGAGCTGTAATGATTCTGTATTCAATTTGTTGTTCCACTGTGTGTATGTGTATGGGCATGCATCTATTTATCCATGACCTTCTCTTGTCATGACCGATCTTGATGCTCGTTGTGCGTCTTTGCATCTGCTTCCATGGGATTTTCTTTCGTAATTATAAGAAGGACGACTTGTGGCCACTTAGGGGGGGTTGGTCCATCATTCGCAGTGAGGTCTGGCCCATCACTCATTTGGGGTAGGGATTATTTGGGGGAGGGATCAATAGGGATCAAATTCGTGGGAACAATTCATGGGGACCATTCATGGGGCGCTTCGTGGGACCGAGGTGTGGGACTGATTCGTGGGACCAATTCGTGCGAAACATTCGTGGGGACCATTCATGGGAGCAATTCCAGGGATTGATTTGTGGGGCCAATGTGTGGGACTAATTTGCGGGACCAATTTGTGGGACCGATTCATGGGACCAATTCGCAGGACCTATTCGTGAATGTTCTGCATGAATTTTATGCTTTTTAAGTGTTGAGTGGGTTTCTCAATGTATCATGATAACTTTCCTCATGGGGAAAGCACTGAAAGCCTGCGAACAGTGCATTGGAGTCCTCATCATCCGCCTTGTCTTGATGCAGAAAGTCTTAAAGACTCAAAACAGCTGAATGGCTTAGGGAGGGGAAAGACGTAAGAAAAGGAAAAGTTTGAAACGCTTTAAATTTACTTAGCTCAGTTGGTTGAGCATGCAAGTGGTATTCAGGAGGTCATGGGTTCAATTCCCCACAGGCATCCAGTCAGCCCTCCACGCCCCCCTGCAGCACACTTCGGGCTCACCACCTGAGATAGTTGGTTCAGACGCCCTGGAGTTGGTAGGGGAGTGGTTGTCGCCCCTTCCACACATGCTAGGGGTGCAATTCAAGCCTGAAGGAATGGGCTCAACCGGGAAGGCTCAACCCTGAGGGAATAGGTTGGCTGGGATAGCTCGGGGAGGAAAACGTCCCATAACTCTAGCCTGAGGTAGTCTCTTGCCCACTTTTGAAAAAATAAAAAATGATAATGATAATAATAATGAGAGAAGAAAATATCGTAGTAACCGTAGTTAAAATTAACAAAATATGAAATTTACCATCTGGACACGCATAAATCGAGAAATGGTCAGAACTTAAAAAAAAAAAGAAAAAAGAAAAAAAAGAAAAGGGATTTCCAATCATTTCACATATTCACATGTATGAGAGAGACAAATTTTGCTGCTGATAGAAGGAGTGGTGTTTTTGTTGCCTTGGCGTTATCAGTTTGTTCGTGTTGCTCGAGGGTCGGACAAGGGAAGAAGCATTTCGGATCGGTCAGGAAATAGCGGCAGAAGTGACTGCTGCAAACCCTCCTCCAGTCACATTGAAAATGGAGAAGGTGTATCATCCTTGTGTGCTGTTGTCGAAGAAACGGTATGTGGGCTACAGTTATGAGAGTCCATCTCAGTCAAAGCCACTCTTTGATGCAAAGGGGATAGAGACAGTCCGGCGGGACAGCTGCCCTGTTGTGGCGAAGTCTATGGAGAGAGCGCTTCGCATCCTGTTTGAGTCTTGCGATCTCTCCAAGGTGCACTTTCGAAATCGGCAAACTGCATTTTTTGGTTTTTGTTCTTCCTACTTGCTGCAATATTCTCTTTTTTTTTTTCTTTTGTTTTAATAAACAGGTCCCTATGGCCCTGCCGCCCTGGCTCCATATTCATTCTGGGTAGCATTAGTGCGGTCGGTTCCTATTCCGCAGGCAAGTCAGAAATACAACAAGAACACCCTCATGCTTCCTTCCGTTTGGCCGACGGACGCCTGTTCAGCATTGATTGATCCAGATGTCTGGAGGATTGACTGTCAGCTTGCCCTTCCCTCTACCTTCCCTCTCAGGTTCGAACGCCGTTTCCTGGCTGTAGTGGTTACAATACTTGGCTCTTGAGGCCGAGGTCGCTGGTTCGAGTCCGTGCTTGCGAGGAGGAGGGCTGAGGCCCAGAGGTACAGATCCGATAACATTGGAAAGCTCCCGTGAACTGGCGGGCAGTTAAAGTACCGCCTGAGTGAGCGGGCTATACTACCGATGGATGTCATGTGCTACTTGGAGCGAAGTGTGCGGGATTGCCAGCGTCCATGTGGTGTTGTGTGTGGTGTGCGTCGAGTTTGGACACTACAGCCTTGCAGGGGTGGGGCGGATATCACGATCCGCCGGTATGTTTCCTCTTTTGAACACCGTGTCCTGGCTGTATTGGTTACCATACTTGGCTCTCGAGGACGAGGTCGCCGGTTTTCGAGTCTGTGCTTGCACGGAGGAGGGCCGAGGCCCAGACATACAGATCCAATAACATTTTTTTTTGTATACCCAAGCCTTACATATTTTTAACATGAAGCCAAGAAAGGCTTACGAGGTAGGGAAGCCCCAAACATCCTGAACTTGTCTGGGTACTCTCTTTCGAATCTGATCTTGTAGATCGTTGACCCCTTATTGCGGATCTCCTCGTATCTGCCATGCCGTAGAGTTTACGCTGCAATATTCTCTTTAGCGAAGTTAATCCATAAGAAGAAGAGGAAGAATTTTTTTGAATCTTTCGCTTCACGTGCCGATCCCAAGAATCGAACACACGCCCTCCCGGTCAGGAGGCAAATACTCAACCAAACGGCTAAGTGTACTGGGGTGAAAGTTAAGCCCCAAGATGAGCACTTAACCCCACCCCAGCACGGGTACCCGTTTTTCCCCGCGACCCGGTGTACCCATTGAGCTTCCAATCTGTGATCTTATGCAGCACTGGAGTTGCAACTGTTGCATGAGGCAGCAGTATTTACTTTGCCACTGTAGAAATGAGCAAGAGAGAAGGTCAGGAAAAAATTGTGTGAAAACACTGAAAAGTTCAAAACTTGAAAACTTGAGAATGTGGAAACAGTGAAAAAATTCCAAAACGGTGTTGAAATCATTGAAGTAATGACATGCTGTTTGCTGAGATGGCAAGAAAGACAAGGCCTTGAAAAGTGAAAACAAGGCTGGAAACTCCAAGGAACATGTCGAGGAGGCTCGGGAGTCGGAACCTTCCAAACGGTTCTTTAAGTCGAAGTCTGGCGCATTAGGCTGTGTGTGGCCCAACCTCCCAAGGTTTCAGAACAATGCATCTCACAGTCCGAAGGGTCCTAGCAGACTCTAACAGTTGCCCAACAGGCGGCTATGGATCCGCACATCGGAGCCCTAAGTCCTCCGTAGTAGTAGCACGGAAAAGTGGAACCATACCGGTCATGGTATCCACACCACCCCTTCAAGGCTGTAGTGTCCAACTCAACACACACTGCACACAACACCACAAGGACACGGCAATTCTCGCACACTCCGCTCCAGTCAGCACAAACCCTACCACTGGTACTCCCGTCCCGTCCCGTCCACCACACGGACCCTAACACTTCTTAGCAGACCCTACCAGTAGTAGTTCTGAACAGGCTTTAACGGACACCCACGTCTGCTGAACACCCTTATACCGCAAAGTTCGGCGCAAAGTTGCCGCAAACCCATTGACCCATAGCCCTCCCGTTGGTTCCTTCCTTTTCCTCTGACGAAAGGAAAGATGGTGATCCTCCCAAAAACAGCAAAGTCATCGTAATATGCTGAACCTTCCAAAAAGTTTTATATCGCTAACGCTGTTGCATCTAGTTCCTGTAGGGTATGTAATATGTATTTATTTCTCCTTAATCCTGATCCATTTGCAAGGAAATGAGCAGTGCGAATGACAATACCGAGATAACTTTGGAGTTTGAACCCGAACTGAAAGCAGATAGCAAACCGAGATTACACAATACAAGTGCGAGCAAAGCATTGAAGTCGCATGATAACGAAAGACCCCATCCCGCCTCCAATCACCAATGTCAGCAATGTAGCTCTCTTATATCGACACTCGGCGCCCAGACTACTGACAGAGCTCCTATCGACCGAGACTCCTAGCCACAACAGGTCTGCAATGAAGATGATCAGCACGATGAACGAAAGAAGACACGAATGAATGGCCCTGATTCGTCTTCACCAGGTGAGTGCCTCGGTCACACCGCTCTTCCCCTGTCTTCCCCTCACAAGCCCCAATGCCCAAGCACCACTGCTCTCCTCCGCCGGCCATGAGCGTCAGCAGCCCGACTATGGCCGCTGCGCACCCAGCAGCTTCCTTGTGCCCTGCCAGCGCCCGCTTCCTTCCCTGGCCCGGCTATCCTCTTCACGAGTGAGCGCCCCAGCAGTGCTCCAGCATCCTGCCAGCCAGAAGGCGAGGAATGCGCCCAGGCGCTTCGGTCTGTGCTGGCTGGTTGCCCGCGCCCTGGCAGAACTGGGCGCTCTCTGTCCCAGTTGCTGTGCTCAGCGCCCTTCCAGATTCTGGAGGGGGCTCAACTATAAGTGCCCTGGGCCTCAGCATCTTTGGCTGGGCCCCAGCATCTTCGACCAACCAAGTGTTGGGGCCGACCGGTTGGTTGGAGATGTTGCATGCAGCAACCAACCGACGGGAACCCCATTCCTCCTCACATCGACCTGTTCTCAGGCCAAGCCACAATTTTGTGGGCCCGCCCTCACTTAGGGCGGGCACAGCCTTTACCAGCTTTGCCGACGGGAACCCCATTCCTTGCACATTTCTTCTGCAGTGTGTGTGTCGCTCGAACTTGCTCCTCGGTAGTCAAAAGTTTCACTGTCTCCTTTTCACAACTTTTTTAAGTTTTTTTTCTTTTTTTCTTTTTTTTTCTTTTTTTTTTATCTTCACAAGTTTATATCATGGCTCTGTACTTTGTGTCTCATGAATGATGAATGTCAAAAGCCACAAAACGAAAAGGCCCATCCATGTGTGTGGGCAAAAGAACATTTGTTTTGCTCTCCCAGTTAAAGCATCTCCAGATTCTCCACGACCGACCGCGATCACCCATTCCTCAGCAAGTGTCACTGTTTTCTCATTCAGTTCCGTAGTTAGGTAGTTTGCACCACTCACGGCGGGCTCAGTTAGCGCTAACGAAGTCCTTGATCGCACTTTTTTTTTTTTTTCCCTATAGTCCTTTTTATTTTGTTTTTTTTTCTCGCACAGTCCTTGACCGTGTTTTATCTTCCCGGACCTTTTTTTTCACCAAGTTGACCGCAGGATAGCCTTCCTAGAGAAGGTGAAAATATTGTTTCCAAAGGGCGTCGCTCCACCGCTCAGCACTCTAGATGCATGTGGTGGACGCTTTCTGGACCAGGTGCATTCCGATGACTCCGTCATTTTGAACGTATTGGGTCCAGAAAGCGGCGAAATGCATGTGTGGAGTGTTTGTGTAGTGGAGCGAGGCCCTAAGTGTTGACCATAAGTATTGACTACTTTTTTCTACCTGCGATTTGTATTCTGTGTTTTTTTTTTTTTTTTTTTTCAGGTCAAGCAGTACCTTCAGCGGCAATGGGGTAGGATCCTAAGTGGGCGGTACAATGTCCAGGATTTCATATTCGCTAAGGAGGTTCGCCTGGGCACGTATAGCAAGCGTGCATCCGTTCTTCCACCTGCAGCTGTCGTCGCAACCAAGGCCATGGCGGTTGACCCAAGAGCAGAGCCTCGTTATGGGGAGCGCATACCATATGTAGTTGTCCATGGTGAGCCCGGTGCGCGGCTCGTTGACATGGTAAACCACTCTCCTAAAAGTTCAATTCTTAACTCCCTCTCCCCCTCCCCCCCTCTCTCCCCCCTCTTCTCCTTGGTGAATCGATGTTGCTTTGAATTCTGTACACCATTTCCTCAGCCTTCCTGTTGTTATACAGAGTACTTGCATTTATGTTTCGGCCCTTTCGGCCCTTTCTTTCAGGCTGTGAAAATCTCCTTCTCACTGTTTTCGGAGGGATGGAAGCCCTCGTAGGCTCGGCACTGTGATGTCCATGATGCCTGAAGGCTCTCGATTGCAATGCCGACAGTCTTTTTTTTTTTTTTTTTTTTTTTTTTTTTTTTTTTTTTTAGCGATGCCGACAGTCCTTAGCCTCACTGCTTTGCAATTCTTTTTGTCACACCCAGATTCCCTCGCCTGTTCTCATGGAATACTCACACTACCGTCTTCACCCGAATAGTCGGGTTAACCATATTTATTACCATCATAGGTCTTTGGGACTTTATTTCATTTTGGGTAGATAATCGATTGTATTTTATTTACTTATTGAGTTCTATTTGTTCATCTCGAAAGAGACGTTATGGCTGTATTTCAATATTTGGCACAACTTTCGGTCGAGAATATGGAGGACCAAGATTCATAGGGGTTCCCAGCAAATAGCCCAGTGGTAAGAGACAACTTTACAGCTGCCCCCGACTCCGAAGAATCTATGTCTAGACCTACAGTGAACATGTGATGCCTTTCTCCATGAATATACCCATGGTATGGACTACGATGCAGCGACAATGACCGGGCGGCGGGCGTTTTATTCGGGTGAAGGCGGTAGGCCCTTATAATCGCAGAATCACAAAGTCACCAGCCAGATCGAGCCCTTCTAAAGGAGGACTCGATCTGGCCACTCATTTTGCAATTCTGCAATTATAAGGGCTTACAAGGGCTTAGGGTGAGTATACTCTCAAGTTAGAGGGGCAATGTGAGGGAAGATTTGCCCAACGCAGTGTGAACACGTTATGTGCAATATAATAATATATGTAATGTCTCGCAGGAGTGTTCATTTACAAGATCCCCTTTTCGTCTTTTTGTCTTTTCGTCTTTTTGTCTTTTTGTCTTTTTGTCTTTTTGTCTTTGTCTGTTGACATGGATGCTCTAAGCATCACCACTGGACAAAGATTTGTTTTTCCAAGTTTTTAATGCTTTGGGCCTTTGTTTGTTTTGTAGGAAAAGTCCAGCATTTGTTTGTTTTCCCCCAAAGGGGGTATAGCCCCTGACATTATTGTACGGAGCAGGATTTGAACTTACGACCTGTTTATTAACAGCTGCAAGGCTGGGGTGAAAACTCCAGCATTTGTTTGCAAATTAGGCAAAGTCTGGTAGGCCGAAAAGAGGCCGAAAAATGGCCCGGGTATTTCTGGGGGCGGCGCCCACGACCCAAAGAACGTCCTGGGCAGCCCCTTTTTTTTTCTGAATTTTTGGTTGGGGGGGTGATTCCAGATGTACTGGACCGGACACTGCCCTACAATTTTTTTGTAGACTGTCTGGATGCCGGTCTAGACGTCCGGGCGGTTACCATTATTTTTTGTTTTTGCTTTTTTCCATAGTAACCGCCCGGACATCCGGAGCGGGTTCCAGATAGTCCGGTGTCCGGTCCCCATGTCCAGATGGAGGCCCCTGGGGCCAAAAAAAAAAAAAAAAAAGGGGCGGCCCAGGACGTTTTTCAGTTCCTAGCCGCCCCTCGAAAAATAATGGGGTGATTTTTAAGTGTTGCTTTCACCCCACCGGACATGGCCTAGAGGTCCAGACACAAGGCACTGCAGGTTTTTGAGGTGGCGGGTTTCGCACAGGCCCGAGCAATTTCAAAGCGGCCTCTTCGGCGTGGCTCCCGCCGCTGCTGCCCGTTGGGGGGGGAGAGAGAGAGAGAGAGAGAGAGAGAGAGAGAGAGAGAGAGAGAGCACTGACAGTGCTGCCAGTCTGAAGACTGTGGCGTTCTGAATTGAACTGCAAAGTTCGAACTTTTAAGTTATATATGAACTTTTATGAAGTTATGAACTTAATAAAGTTAAATTACTAAATCCAAAGTTCAAAGTTCGAACTTTTAAGTTATTTATGAAGTTATGAACTTAAATTACTAAATCCAAAGTTCAAAGTTCAAAGTTAACCATACCTTTTTCAAAAAAAAATTCTCTGTTTCTTTAGTCTTGTGCCTGCTTTGCACTGTTTGCAACTCTGCATGTCTGCTAGTTAAATGTGATGGTTGATTTGCTGCAAGACACGTGTTCTGCTGCCTGAACTACAGAGTGCAAAGCAGGTAAGGGCCTGCCAACACCCTCACCCAATCCCCACCCACTGACAGTGCTGGTTTTTTTTTTTTTTTTTTTTTTTTTTGGGTCCAGAGTCTGACTCCAGACATTTTTTGCACCCCAGGGACCGGTCCGGACTGTCCGGTGTCCAGTGATGTCCGGATCACCGGACAGTCCGGACCGGTCCAAACGCTGGTCCTGAAGACAGTCCGGATGTGTCCGGTGTCGGGGTCCGGGGTTACCATGCTTTCCCCTCCCCTGGATTTATAAGGAATTCTGACGTGTCCCTCAGCCAAAAGTTGTTGGCTGCATTGCAATTTTAGACAACATATTGTTTTACTGTTTTGCTTAAACTGTTACAGAATCTTTTGAATTATTTAATATTTATTTTATTTTATTTTTTGGGGGGGGAATTTTAGGACCCCACTGAAGTTGCCACTAGTTTACTGAATATAACGCCCAGGCGTTATAACTTATAAACATATAAACGAATATAAATCCCGACTGGCATTACATTTGTATACAATGCCCGGGCGTTATTTTTGGATGAAGACGGTAGCATGGTCTCGAGGCCTCCTCACCGAAAACCGAGTCGTTCACCGAAAATGGGCTTTGCTGAGTTTGCTGCCTGTGCAGCTTTTCGCTCTGTGCACACCACTTCCACAGTTCTCCTCTTCCTTTTTCTTATCCTCAATTGAATTTGTCATTTTTCTGTGTGCCATGTTGTTGGTAACTTGTTGCCTATGACATAATTTTGCTTCCCCTCGAGGAAAGGTTGTCGACCCTCACACGCTGATCGACAGCAATCAGAACCTGCGCCTTCACGGAACGTACTATGTTACAAAGCAGATCATTCCTGCACTGCAACGCGTGTTTGGACTTGTTGGAGCCGATTTGCGTTCCTGGTTCCTCGAGATGCCTCGAATATATCGACCAACAGTCGCTAAGCGGCCTTCTGCGTCTGGCGTAAAGATTGCCGCAGCTGGAAGCTTTGCACCTGGGGGACGGCCTCGGCCAGCAGCTGATTCTGTAGTAGACATTGAAGAGCTTTTTGAGGCAGGGGCAGGCGGTCGCAAGCTGCAAGGAGTGGGAGGTAAAGGAGGCGGGAGAGGATTTGGAGCAGGTACGATTGATCAGTATTACCTGTCACAGCACTGTGCTGTTTGCACAGAACTGACACGCTCTGCGGAGCCCGTATGCGCCAAATGTAACGAGGACAAACAACTCACAGCACTCACGCTATACGGAAGAGCTGCCACCCTCGATAGAGAGGATCGCCATATTGTTGAGGTGAGTCTCCTCGTCATGCTGATTCTCCCTCAAGTCATCCTCCAGCTCGTTAAGCATCGACCTGTCTGAGCACCGTGGATTTTCTTGTCTCTTCCTCCTCCTCCTCCTCCTCCTCCTCCTCCTGCTCTCCCCTCCCCCCTCCTTTTGTAATATGTTCACTAGGTGAGTTCTGTCTGTCCTCAGGAGGCAGCTGGAAAGACATGCAGACCTGCGTTCAAACGCAGATGCACTGCAGAGATTGGGCCTTGCTCAATGCTCAGTGGTTGCGTATAGGGATACGTATGCGTCGCCTGACTACCATCCCTCTCACCGCAGAGATTGGGCCTACACTGAGTTGGTTCACCCATGAGCTATTGAAATACAGACCTGAGTTCAATCTTCAAATCCAGATGAACTGGAATGAAATTCTTGATTCTTTTCCAAAAAAAAAGGGGATTCAGATTCACTGGTGGATATGAAATTCTTGATTCTTTTCCAAAAAAAAAGGGGATTCACTGGTGGACATGAAATTCTTGATTCTTTTCCAGAAAAAAAGGAACCGGACTGACGCTCCCCAGAATAGAAGGAGCCAGGACCATAAGGCCCTGTTTAAAAAAAAAAAAAAAAAAAAAGAGGGGATTCACTGGTGGACATCAGTACAACCAACACACAATCAGAAACATACAATGTGTTCAGGGGAAGATGGTGTGTACCTTTCGTTCCCGATCTGTATTTGAAGCAACTTTCAGCCTAGGTACAGCAATAAGAAACATTCAATAAGAAATCCAGGCTGATTCTTGTTCAGCACCGTGTAAGCGCTACCTCAGGACCTGACCTGTCAAGCCTACCATCTTCCCCAGCGCACGGTCATTATATAGCTGTATTTGGAGCAACTTTAAGCCTAGGTACAGCAATAAGAAACATACAATGTGTTCAGAGGAAGCTTGTGTGTACCTTTTGTTCCCGATCTGTGAAGCCCAACAAGGCCAGGTACTGAACTGGTTTCTGGTAGTCCAGCGAGGCGAAACCCAGGGTTCCCAGCTCGGCAAAAAGGAGGCCACATTGTGGAAGGGAGACGGGGAACCAGCCTCGGCGGAAGGCCTAACCAGAACCAGGCTTGTGCGCGTGCCTTCGAGGTCTTTTGGAGGTATGTGTTCGGCCTCTTGCCGAGTCTTGGGATGTGGGCAGAAAGATGCACTGCCATTGTAAAGTGTTGTGTGGGCACTGTGTGGGGATCTGTGTTTACTATTTAATATTTATGTATTTAGTATTTACTATTTACTATTCATGTATTTGTCATTGAATTATGTTATCCCCTCCACTAACGGGGATGGCATTGCATCTTGCAATTATTGTACGGTCAATCTCTTCAACTCTCAGTGACGAACGGCCAAGATTGCAAGGTGATACACACTGGGAGATGCCAGCGGAATCTGGCCTCCAGCTTGGAAATTTTCTGAACATGCGCATATGACCACCCCCTTGACTTCATTGCAGGGCATTTGAAAACATCACCTTTGAAAGATTGCGCTGGGAAAGGTCCATCTCCTCCCCCTTGCAGAGGCACGTGCCCAAGTGGCACGCCTGTCGTCTTTCTTTTCTTTTCTTTTTCTTTTTTTTGGGCGGGGGTGGGGGGGGGGTAACTCACGTTGTAGTCACCAAAGAAAGAAAGGAAGAGAGAAAGAGAGAGAGAGAAAGAGTGTTTCTTTCTTTTTGTTTCTTTTTCTTCTTTCTTCTGCTTCACAACAGGTCATCATGTTTGTTGTCGTTTTTATATCTAAAGCAAAAGAATACGAAAACCACTCACGAGTACGCAACCACAAAGGAATCGTAGGTCCTTAGGGACATCTGTTAAAAATGGAATGATACAGAGGAGATTAGCATAGCTCCTGTGCAGGGATGACACGGGGGGGAAGAGAGGGGGGGGGGGGGGGGGGCGGCGGCGCAGAAGTAATCATAGACAGCATGCATGATTCACAAGGAAGGTGTGCGTGTGTGTGTGTGTGTGTGTGTGTGTGTGTGTGTGTGTGTGTGTGTGTGTGTGAGAGAGAGAGAGAAATGCCCAATTGCTGTCAAGAGTATAACGCTATGCTTTCATCTTGTTTGTTGCCGTTTATGACTACCCTATTTCACGCTTGCAACCGCACCGTGCGCCGTACGACGTGTGGCGCGGCACGTGCTCGTGCGCCGTACCAGCGGCAGTTCCCCTTGTTTTGTCTTTTTTTCGCTGTTTCTGTAGATACAGTAGAGTGCAACACCTAAGGAAGTGAACAGTCGTACAGATTCTCTTTCCATCCGATTGGGCATGAGAAATAGCCTCGAAAAGTCATCTGGAACATCAGTCTTGACCTTCAGGTAGCGGCATTGCCCTCCCACTAGTTTCTTTTTTTTTTTTTCCATCCCACAACAAATCTTTAAAGGGGATGCAGGTGACCATTGACCCAGCCGTGCGACCCCCCTTTTTCTTTTTTTAGTGAATATTTCCCCCGTGCGCCCCACTGTGCGGGTCCGCTCGTGCGCCAAACGTGCAGAATTTTCTGCACGGCGTCCGCTTGCATGTATTCCCTATTTGTATGAAAAGAACAACAAGGGGGGAGAAAAATAGAACATTTTAAAGTTTTAACTTTTAAGTTCAAACAAAATATTAAAATCTGATCTCTTTTTCCAATTGGTGATGCTGAATGTTTAATAACTTTAATTATTTGAATACCTTGTGTGGACATCTTTTTTCAGATATGTCATCACTGTGGAGGAGGAGATGGTGGTGCTGCAGGTGGAGTTGCATGCATATCATTGGACTGCCCGATTTATTTCGAGAGGAAAAAGGTCCGAAGCGAGTTGCTGGCTGCAATGTCAATGGCATTGCAATGGGGTCGCAGTTCTGCCACGAGGACTAGGGAGCCGTCTGCTGGGGAATAGCGCTTGTTTTTTGGGGGGGGCGGTCACAATTCTTCACAAAATTTCTCAGCAGGCGAGTTCTTTGCCTATTTCCGTTGAGATGCTTGCCACTTGTTGATAATTCGCCTATTCTTTGTTGCCGAACCGAACTCGTCCATTGCATAATTTCGTCCAAACTTTCCCTAAGGGTTCTTTTACCTTTACGTTTCAGAACTCATCCATTGTATTGTGTACATTACGCTGTCCTTCACACCCGAGTCCGCTTTACGGTCTGTCACATATAGAGTGACACCCACCAAGTGCACTGCATAATCTGTCAAATAGACTGATACAGCAGTTGTAACAGCAGTTGTGTATTACAGAGCTTCTTATCCTGCCAATAAATGATGCACCCACATTTGTTTTAATTTTGTCACAAAAAACACAGATACACACCAAGCCACCCCTCCTCCTCCTCCTCCTCCTCCTCCTCCTCCTCGTTCTGCTTGTCTTGCTGCTGCTTGTCATCTATCTGATGGTTCTTCCTGTTATCTGTTGCCACTTTCGCCGCCTCCCCTACTCTTCCCGCCGATCGTCTTGCTCTTGAGTGTGCTCGCTTTCCTGCTCCATCCTGTGAAAACCCTGTCGCCCACAGAAAGCCCGGACACAGACGCAGCAAGTCACTGCTCCTCCTCCTTCAGCTGCTTCTCCTCCTCCTCCTCCTCCTCCTCCTCCTCCTCCAATTGCTGCTGCTTCATCCCCTTATCTTCTGCCACTGTCACTGCCTTTCCTGGTGTTGCTTCTCATTGTCTTGCCCTTGAGTGTACTATTCAGCAGTTGCTGCTCCTGCTCCTGCTTCTGCTCTTGCTGTTGCTTTTCCTTCTGCCCACCTCTTCCTCCCTCGCCCTTTCTTTTTTCAAAGGCTCCTTCTATTCTGGGTGGGGCCCCTCCCTCTCCTCGTCCTCTTCCTATCCCTCTTCCTCTTCTTGTCAATTGGTTGATAGGCTGAGAGGAAAAAAGTTTGAAAAACATTGTACTTGCTGAACCGAGGCGGTGCAGCTGTGAATGGTATGCACACTGCACAGCGCATATTGCATGAATATCCTCCACATGGATGGAATTCTTCGAGTGCATTTCAGTGATTTCACATGATTTTTTTTGTGGTTCTTTTTGTGAATCAGAAATCTTCAAATTTGAAATCTCACATTAGTTTTTTGAACTTTTAGTATATGCTACGAAGCCTACTATGTTTCAAGTTGTTTTCGCATAATGTGTTGGGGATTGCGGGATTTGAACTCGCAACCTGCCTGCTTGCTGTATTTCAAGTTTCGCTTGTTTTTGTTCTTGCCAGGTTTTGAACCTGGGACCAAACAAAGTAAGTACAGTTGTTCAGAGTCTTCAGACTAGTTCTGTTTTCCGTTTTTTTTACTGTTTTAAACCCCGGCTGAGACCTGCATGCACAATCTCCGTTTGCCCAGCATAGTGCGATAGGATCGTTTTGGCTCGTAGTGTTAGAGGTGTCGCACGGGGCGACCGGGAGCGCCGCGCTGCTCCGCTATCGGCCCGGTCCGTTGTGCGCCCGCGGTGCTTCGTTGGATTCAATTTTTGCCGGTGCGTTCTCGGGCGATTTCACGTGCGCATATGGGCGATGGTGGTTGGGGATTCTTCTACTTCGTGCGTGGTGTATATCCTGAGTGGCCATCGACGTGGAAGCTTCCACTTGGACGCTCTTCCAGCTTTGCCGATTAGGGAAAGTTGTCTTCGGCTCTGCGCTTCGTCCAAGCGGTGTCGCAGGTTGGCACGCTGGCGAAGGGGAGACTATCGTTGGAAGAAGGATGATCTCCATGAGATTTTGGCCATAGTTGAGGCCTTGTTCCTCCGCACCTGCGCAGTGTTGAGGAGGTTGGTTGAGAATCGCGGGCAGAAAAGGAGGAGTGCGTTCTCACGTGGAGTGCGAGGAGGAAGATCGTTCAAGCGCGAGCACCCGGAAGGGACTGTGACGATGTCTTCTGCTCCAACTACCGTCTTCCCCCGAACACAACGCACCCTTATTTTGGCTGTATCTGGCCGGAAATATAGCTTGTATACGATCATTTTTAGGGTGCGTTATGTTCGGGGGAAGACGGTAGTTGATGGGCTCACTGTACAGGGGATGGTAGCTGCGATGAAAAGACTGTGGTGATCGTGGTGCTGTTTTTTGTTTCTTGAACTTTCTTTGTATGGTTGTATCTGCACCGCCCTTGTCCGATATTACTGGTTAGACCGTTAGAGTAAAATAGCTATTGCTGTTAAACCTTCTATGACAATTCGGTAATTACGATCGGGGTTATACTCGTTGTCATTTTCCAAGGTAAGCTCAGTTTCTTCAATTATAATCTTGGTTTTGTCTTGGTCTTACTTCAACATCATTCAGTCTGAATCGGTAGCACAATTCACTATAATTACGTATCTTTGATTCTCGAGTATATCTTCTAAAAGTCCCGAGCGCTTCTGAATTCTACTATCATAGCCTAAATTCTGAAGAATCTTTTCGATAATTAGTTTTTGCTTTCTAAATCTGTATTTGAGTGTATGTGGTGGGAGCTGCCAATTTTTTATTTGCGCAAGGGGCAGCGGAATAATTGCAACAAGCTTTACTGGCGCCCTGCGCCTTCTTCAGCGGGTTAATCTCAAAAGATGCGGTGGGATTTTCTTGATTTGAAACTCGACAATTTGCAATTTCAAGCTTATTCTTGTGGTTTAGTTTTCTCGACTATTTGGTGGCGAGATTCTTTAGTACTGCTGTAATGGCTGAAGGCTGGATTGATCATTCCAGAAGGGTCGAACTGGAAGAGGGGGTGGACAGGGAGCGCTATCCTGCAGGGGATTCACAAGGAGGGGGGTGAATGTCTCGAAGAGGGTAGGGGCGGAGTTGGGGGGTTGCCCTGTTCTGGGGCTGGTGTTGGTGGAGGGGTCAACATCAACCCCAGTGGTGCCAGAAACAGGCAAGGGGTGGCGAGGGCATGTTTTAGGAGGGAATGGCATGTCCTCGGGGATAGGGGTGGAGGGAGTTGGTCCTATATTGGGGCCGAGGGAGAGCGGGAGGCTCGCCTCGGCGGAGGCAGTGTAGGGCTGAGGGGGGAGGAGTATGGGGGGGGAGGGGTGATCTTCTTTCGAAGATTTCTAAACATCCAGTCCAGCAATTTTCTCTCAATTCTCTTTAATTGGTTTTGCCTCTCGAGGAGGTGCCAGGAATAGGTGGTATCCGGCAACCTATCTGTGATTCTGCTGAGTTTGGTTGTAACACAGCGGCCATCGAAGACCAATGCTGGAGCAACGCTGGCCTGAGCCAGAGCGAGGTGGCGCAACTCTGTCACCTAGCATAAGGGGCCGTGAGGCCTGGAAGAGATCTGGGAGGCTGTTTGTGGGGGCAGTCTCAGCGGTCATCGGGGTCGGAGCTGGCGCAATGTGTGCCGGAGGCTGGAGCAAGGTGGTGCAACTCTGTAACCTAGTCTGATGGGGGCATGAGGCCTGGTAGAGATCCGGCTTTTCGCTGTAAACGGCCATGCCGGCGTGTTCATAGAGGCGATTGTACGAGTTTCCCTCTATTTTTTTCGTGGTCAGGAGGACCTTCGGTACATCAGGATCTGAATTTTTTTGAGAAACTCTTCATCATCTGTAGTGTTCTTAACTTCTTAGTCGAAACTGGGTGATGTCCCCAGTATTACATGATTCTGTACTTCATAAGGGACGCTGGGCCCGGTTCCCAGCCGTGTTGCTCCCCACGAATAGATTTGGAATTTTGGAGCATCGTCTCAAATTAAAAAAAAAGAAAAAAARAAAAAAGAATAAAAAGATATTGACTCCACAAGCAAAAAAAAAAAAAAAAAGAAGTGTTAGAGGTGTCTTTTGGTAGGCAAGCACTGTAGGCCTAGGGAAGTAGCTGCTGCTTAAAAGAGACGACGTGGGGCAAAAGTTCGCAAAACCCTCATTGAGAATTCATTCATCATATTTTTGCTGCTGGGTGAGACCAGAGAGGCACTACTTTGAGCACTGCTCGAGAGAGAGAGAGAGAGAGAGAGAGAGAGAGAGAGAGAGAGAGAGGGAAGTAGCTGCCCCTCAAAAGCGACTATTTGGGGCAAATGTTCCGCAAAACCTCTGCTGCTTGGTGAGACCAGAGAGGGACTACTTTGAGCACTCCTCGAGAGAGAGAGAGAGAGAGAGAGAGAGAGAGAGAGAGAGAGAGAGAGAGAGAGAGAGAGAGAGGCCATACCCAATGAAAACTCACTGCTCACTGGATGGTTTCTCGACCCGATTGTTGCATGTTGCTCAGGGAGGCCAGGCCTTCAATTATTCATCCCCTTTTTTCTGGTTTCATCAAATATTATGTATGTGACGATTCAATTACAATTTCCTGTGGAGTTGGAATCTATTGTGATCTCATTTCAATCAAGTGTGCAAGTGAGATGATGAGTGGAAGTGCTTGAGATTTTGGAACATCGTAACAAATGTTGTGAATTCCAGTGAATTCGAAAACATGACCACAAAAGTTCGGATATCACCGCCAAAGATTAAAATCCAGAGCATTATGTTTCCGTCCAGATTCTCAGAATGATTTGGAAATTGGAAGTCTTTCCAAGGATGTTTATCATCATAATATCATGTGGAGATGGAATGAGGATTATGGGGGGAAGCACCTAAATGGCTGAAAAGTGAAGTATGATTGGGGGTGGGGTGGGGCACAGGGGAGGTGTCCCGCAGGACAGGCCACAAAAGTAGCAGCCACATTACTTTTTTCAAGTTTTTTGTAAGTTTCTTTTTTTTCCCCCTCCTTTTTTTCTTTTAAACCACCAGTACTTCCTAAAGTCGTGCCTGTTAACGCACCACGATTTTAGGAAACGTACGGGCCACCACAGGAGTGCCCAAATTCATCCAACTAGAAACGTTTCTACTCTATTTTTTCCCGCGGCCAATAGCTGGGCCAAGTACTGGTGGTTTAATGTGCACAAGTGGACCTGCCACGGCCACACCTGCAGTGCAGTGGGCGGGAGTCGACGACAGTGGGTGAAAGGGAAGGAAAAGGAGGGGGAATTTGTTTTTTTGTTTTGTTTTGTTTTTAAAAAAAAAAAACAGGTCCTTATGGCCCTGGCTCCATTTCCATTCTGGGGAGCATCAGTCCGGTTCCTTTTCCACCGGCAAGTCAGGAAAAATCATTACATCATAGAATACCCTTACGCTTCCTTCCGTCTGGCCGAAGGAACCCTGATCAGCATTGATTACTCCAGCAGCGTGGAGGATTGACTTTCAGCTTGCCTTGCTTCCATCTTCCCTCTCAGGACTACTAGGGGAACCTGTCAGATACAACATGACTAGCAAGAAAAGACTGAGAAGCTGTGGTTGCTGCCGGCTCAGTCAAAACCCACACAACCTTCTGCTGGTC